CAGGAGCAGATCATTTTTTCAGCCACCAATATCCTCAGCATAATCAGTTTGGCTACCCAGGCAATAATGTTTTTTATGCGGATTACGAAGAGGAAAATCCAGTTCCAGCTATGCCCATCAGACAATTTCCAGTATGTATTAACAACATCAAACACAAAGATTGACTACATAATAATGTGTGTCAGCACTGAAAGCAAACTGTCATAACTTGCATTTCTACGTATAAGCTAGAGCAGTATTTATTTGGAAAATGTGTTTACTGGCTAGAGGTCTGCCACATCTCTAACTTTCCTGGGCTTTATCACAGAAACCTCAGATCTACTTGCTTTAGGCTATATTGTGTAAATCTCTTTTTGAGGATTTAGGCCCTATGTGGGCTCTCTATATGTGGATGTTTCACCTAGGCTAAGTACAGTCAAAAAACCTGGGACTGAATTGATTCAGTCTTTGCAGGTTAGTCTAAACTGCAGAGATTAAACTGAGAAACAACTGGATACACACTTACTTTTGATTCAGGGGATGCAGCCACATGCCTGCAGTGCCTCAGGCCAGAAGCCAGGGGGCACTAGAGCACATCTCTCTGGCACGCAGCCAGCATGGGCTGTGTGTTCACTTCCTCTTCCTGCTGCCCTTAAGGTCTCTGGGACTTGCAGTCCAGAATCACAGCAGCAGGACTCTCCAGGGTTGCTCATCACTTCCTCTTCCTACTTCCAGGTTCCTCTGGGATTTGTAGTCCACAGTCACAGTCAGCAGTAAGTTTCAGTAAGTTTAGCAGCAGGGCAGCTATGTACTCAGGGGAAGGTGGGTTTAATCTGCCTCCATGGCCCCAGACCCCAGCTGGGGTTTGCCCGGGGGGGGGGGGAAGGAGAGGACGGGAGGGTGCAGTCCCTGCCTTCCCCTCCCTCACCCCCAACTCCTCTCTGCTGGAGCAGACAACACAACCCAGCCCAGGGATGGAAAGCATGCTAGGATGCTGAGATTTAACTTGAACCAGGAAGGGGTCTGGGACAGAAGTTTCATAAACCAGTTTGACCCAAATCTGTTAAATCTCATGCTACATTCAACTAGGTTTATCTTAAACCAGTTTCAGCCATTTTGAAACTGATTTATGCACATTTAGCTTCTGTTCTGTTACAGGTTTAAATCAGTTTCTGGCTACTTAAACCGGTTTATGTGTAACTTCTGTCCCTAGCCCTACTGGTAAAGTTAATGGGACTAATCATGAGTAAGTCATTTGAGTTTCATCAAAATGAATATGGCTGCACAATCTAGCCTCTTCACTGAAAATATAGACCAAAGTCAGAGTAGGGTCATCCTTCCACTGCTAGGGTTACAATTCTAAGATCAGAATCTATGAGAGGAATCTTCTCGGTTGACATGAAGTACATATCTAGGGAGCTCTGTACCGTGATTCAACTTGGGTTCCTACCATTTTATGTTCATAACGTTCCTTTCTTCAGAAGTTTGTATTCTTTCTTAAGTATGGTCTGCATTTAATATTTCTATGATAGCAAAAGGGTAGAAGTAATGAAAGAGTGAAAAGTGTGTTCTTTCTCTTGAGCAGCAGCTATGTTTAAGGATGCTTCTTGCCTACTGCTAAACTAGTTTTTCTGGTTCTGGGAAAGGTAAGATCTAATCTGTAGCATAATTTTGTAAATCCACGTTGCATAGATGAAATTGTGAAGCCTTGAGATAATTTGCATTGATCATATACTTTTGAATATATCATCTATGCACTGTGCTACCTTGACAGAAAATAGTCTTACATTCCAAATCTCTTGGAAACTTTAAAAAGATAAGTCTTTTTAAAAGAAGAGGACATTCTTTCTTTCCCAAGTATGAAAATTCCTCCCCAGAGTTACACTGGCCTGAGTCCCACAACAGGCAAATTCAAATAACTCTTTCTCAGCCCTGAATGATCAAAATGGAAGGTGTTTAACAAGAAAGGTCAAAAGTGGCTCCTAGATTTCCAGTAAAACATATAGCACTTGCTTCAACAATTATATCATAAACATGGTTCATGATGGTACAGTCTGTAGCCTTTGTGGACACATTTTGGAAAACTAACTTACTGGTAGCTTCACTATCAAAGAAATACAGCTATCCATAGTTCTAACTGATAAAATCTATGTATTGTACCATAACTCTGTTATCTCTAACAGTTTGAATTCCAATGTACAAAGGGCCCAACCCTGTAGTAATTTACATCAGAATAATCTCAAGGCAATGTAGATAGCTAGGTGTTCACACTGAAAACATAATTTCTGAAATTGGGACGTAAGAGATGCATAGTGTAAAAAAATATGTTAATACATACAGCCTGTCTTAAATACAAAGAGAATAAGAAATATCTTACTAAATTAAGATCTTATTAAATTACTATCTTACATGTTAAATTAATTCTCTTTACAGAAATATGACATCTCAGCATTTCCTAGGGCTGACATGTTTCAGAGTGCTACTCAACCAATGGACAATATGGAAAGACCAGTAAGACCTTATGGACTAAAACGCTCGGGAAATAGATATAACTACTAGAAAGTTTACAATACAGGGAACACGTGAAAAATCAGTTGTATATTCAGAGTCTTTCTGAAAATATCATGTGATTTGTTTTTGGTATGATTTGATACATTTCTAACTTTCTTTGGAAGACTTGATGATATAGAATACCAGGTTCTGCTTATTGCCAAAATTGCTGCATACCAGTAATAGCACAGGAATATTTTGTATTGTTTAGCATGTGCTGAGTGCCAGGAAATGTCCTAACACACAAAGCCAAATGTTGTTTTCCTTAGAAAAACACACGAGAAGGAAAAAATGTTCTTAAATCTCAGACTAAAGAAACAGAAAAATCCATGGAAAACCATTGCTTTCCCTTTGAAAGGAGGGTCTTGAGTTATGGGGAGAAGACTGGGAGTATGGCTCGTAGATACTCTCGCCTCTTGTTCATGTGAAAACCTATCCCAGTGCCACTTTCTGGCCCTCTCTCTTCTTTACAGTGGTCAATCCACTCCCATGAGATTCCTTGCACTGCATTACTATGTCATGTCACAAACTGAAGAGAAAGAGGAAAAGTAGAATATTATTGTTAAGGACATAAATTTCCATCAGCTTTTCTGTCTGAAATAAAATGGGTTTTCAGGACAGCATTGGATGTAGACTATCTGCTCCTCAACTGACTTCTTCACAGCCTCTGATTTTTCCTTTAGGAGCAATATTCACAAAATAATTCCAGTTACAATTATAACTTCTGCTTTTTATTTACCACCTACATAGATTGAAGGCCGAATTCTGTTCTAGGATTACAACCATACAACTATGCTGACTTCAGTAGTGGTGCACAAATGTTACTTGGTGCATATTTGGTTGCAGATTTCACAAACTCCACAAACAAAATTCTACAAAACATCTTCATATATATTCATACACTTCATATTGTCCTGCACTATTCTTCTCCTTTCTGTACAGCAGCTGTCCCAGTCACCAAACGCTTCCATAACCTAAGGGCTGGCAAGCTTCTATGGGGTAGGCAGGAGCTTGGAACCAGGCTATCCCTGGACTACAGGTCTCCAGCCCTCTTCCTACTTTATGTGGCCAGCTGCCAGATATCCAGCCTCTCTGCAGCAAGGATAAGCTCAGACACCATGGAGCAGCAGACAGCAGCAGAGTGGAGCTTTGGGGAGAGGATGGGAGACATTAGGCTGCCCCTCCATGGGACTGGACTTCCACAGACCAGATCCACCCTGCAGGCCACAGGTTGCCAATCCCTGCTATAACCCAATTTCTCACTGATTGATGGAAGTTTGTAATTTTAAACCTACTAGGCAGAATATCCTTCTGCTAGAGATCCATGATGTCAGATCTCCATGGGTACATGGGCATATAACAAAGAACAGATAGAGCTGGGGAACATGTTCTACAGACTCAAAACCTATCCATTTGGAAGTTAATTCTGCTTCAGTTTATATTAACTCCTTATTGCTTTTCCCTCTGGTTGCTACTGTACGATGCAAATAATAGTAATATTATCTTTGGGGCCATGTGAAAAGTGTGTTGTGATATTGAATGTCCAAGTGACCAAAGATCTAGCCTAATCTGGGAACATCCATTAATTAACAGGCCATTCCATTGTGCTACCTAGTCTCTCTCGTACTTTGTGCAACCCTTGAATATTCAGGAAGGTACTTGATCATATCTCTAAGCCTTCAAGTTCAACTTGAAATTCTTTAGTTTTCTCTTTTAAATTATACTTTGATGTTTTTGTAATTTGTTTTATAAATAACATAAATAAAATGACACTGAAAATTACCTACTTTATGAGCATCTAAAAAAGAAAAAATATATCATCTGTCCAGGTCCTGAATACCTTTGAAATTGCCAGAAAAATAGTGTCTTAAGTACATTTTAACCTTTTTATTAAAGCATGATCTTAATTAATTTTAGAAAATCAATAAAAAATTAACTACAGAGATATAACAGAAACAGAGACTTTTGTATGTTTCTTTTATGTAATTATAGTGGTTTTCTCTCAAAATCTCAATGACCTATATCCTGCCAGCCTATATCCTGGCATCTTCCATTTTTTTCCTCACAGGTTTCAGTTATGGCCCAGTACATGCCTATCTTCCCCTGACTGCGTAATCAGAGAAGGCAGAAGCCTGTTCAGAGTTCTTCATTTTATTTCCTGTTCTTTTTGCAAGAAGTCAGTTGAAAAGATATAGTTTCCTGGAGGGGGAAAAGGAAGAATGGCTCCTCCCCACTCCTAGCTAGCATCCTCTAGTGCCTATTACAACTGCTGTTTCATTCTTTTCCTTCCAAATATACATCTGTCTTCAATGAGTCATTAGCTGGGGAAGTGTCAGTTTTACTATTCCTGTTTCTACGGATGGAATATGCCTGCAAGGATAAAAGATATTTAAATAAGGGTCTTTCACACATGTTACAGGGGCAGATTGACCAATGCAGTTGAACCCATTTATCACACTGTGGTTTAGCAAACCACTAGCTTATATATAGCTGCAATCTCATATGCCATAATCTATACTTCCATTAAAAATAAACTGAATTTGCAGAGACACCCTGCGATAACCACTTTACACAACAACATTAATAATATCACTATTGATCAAAACCCAGAATAAGACACGTCCATCTTATAAAGATTTTCATGGGCCACTAAGAGAACGATTTTGTTTTCATGTTACAAAATAACAAGTTTTTCATATGCCATAATCTATACTTCCATTAAAAGAAACCAAAAACTTTCCAAATGTGCACTGAACTTGCAGAGACACCCTGCAATAACAGCTTTACATGACAACCTTAATATCACTATTGATCAAAGCCTAGAATAAGACAAGTCCATCTTATAAAGATCTTCATGGGCCACTAAGAGAGTAATTTTGTTGTAATGTTACAAAATAACAGAGCTCGGGGAGATGCAACTGTTTAATTCATTCTTTCCATTAATCCTTTGCTGCCCAGCAGATTTAAACAGCCTCAGCCATCTGGTCTCCCAGTTTCTCTCATAAATAAGAAAAAAAGAAGCAATTTCTTCAACAGTTAATACTATCCTTAGACATGACTGCCATAAGAAAAGCAGGGAGAACTAGGTGTCCTCAAATAAATTTTAGTAGTGAAACAGCATACAAACTTTAATGACCCTAGAAAGCCAAGTACCTGCATTTGCATGAGTCTCACCTCTGACTTTCTCCTCTCATATTTTTAAACAAAAGAGTGATCTGTCCAGTAGCCTGCAATCATAGAATCTGAATGTTTTAAGTGGTTATTGGCCCTCAGCTTTGTCCATCAAGTTCTGGGTGACAGCTGGGATTTTCAGTTGTCACTTGAGAACATTCAGGCTGCCCCAGTCTGTCCTAGCATTCATTTGAAAAAGTGGTTGACAATATCAGAAGAGGAGACATTGAATGACCTTTTCAAAGGAAGAATAAAGAGAAGAAGAAACCCTGAAGGTTTAATGAATACCATGCCCCACAGAGTTGGAAAGAAAAAGTAGTAGCCTTAACAGTGACAGAAGGTATCCCTCACTGGTGACAGTCATGAGACTATTACAGGATGAAGGTAGTTTTACACAGAATTACGTTTTCTTCTTGAGGGTCCCTCTCCTGCCTGACATTCTAGGGGTTTTCAACCTTTTTAAACTAGTGTACCCCTTCTGGTGGTGGCAGCTGGACACAGGGCAGGGGAGAGGTGGAACTAGCACACAGCCACCACCATAGCCCACTTTCCCACAGCCGGTCACACATGCGGCTCCACGGGCTGCAGATGGGCCTCGCACCCGGCCAATTGTGTGCTGCCCATCAGCAGCCCACGGACCCGCATATGCAACCAGTCATGGGAAAGCGGTGCACGGCAGCAACATGGGACAGTGGGTGATGGCGGTGGTGTAAAGTGGCGGCCACCACGTGCAAGAGCCCCCCACCCCTCCATCTGGCCAGCTGGATGGTGCCTGTGCAGCCCACAGAGAGGAGCCATTGCCCACATCCCCCTCTGGGCCTGCTCCTGGGAGGCAGTGGTGCAGGGTGTTGGGTGGTTGCAGCAGGTGCTGCATGCAAGCCCTCCCACCCCAAGTCTGTCCACAGAGAGGCACCGCTGCCCTCAGCCCTCCTGCCCTGCTCCTGGGAGTGGGCACAGAAACACACTCCCCTCTCACTCCACCCCCTGTCATTGAGACCCTCTGTGCCTTGCTGCCCTCACGGCTCTGCAGGCAGGGTTGGCTGCGATGCCTCCTTGCCGTGGGCTATTAGCAGAGGGTGGCAGCCTGGCAACCAATCAGGAGAGTGAGCTGTGGGGGGAGCAGGGCGGTGCCGCGGTGTGCTGCATGGGGCTGGTTGTGCCCCATGCGCCCCTCCCCCTCTGCGAGGTAAGAGGCAATGTGTAGGAACGTACTGAGGAGGACACCACCATTGCGCCCTGGGGCGCGCTCCATCCTCGCCCGCCCATGCGTACCCCATATGACCTTTCTAAATACCCCT